CCTCAAATACCTACCCAAAAATGTCTACCATCTCTTGGACTATAAATATTATCCTACTCTACCCTAGATGGTATGGTCCGGATGGTACCACGCCGCTACGAATCATGACAATTTTTTAAAGGCACGTTCGCAGTTTTTTTTAGCGATAGTTACTTCTACGGGCCCCCAATAAATAATGAAAATAAATCAAAATATTATAAATAATTGATTAAAATTACCAAAATATAAATACACCAAGAGTTGGTCATGATTTTAATTCACTTTGTCTGTTTAGCTAAAATTAAAAAAATATCTCTACAGATAACTAGAAGATAATTATCAAAAAATTACTAGATTAACTTTTTGTAAATGTATGTTATGCATGTTTTTTATTGTGAATAAACATGTAGTCAAAACTAGATTGGCTTCTATTATTTATCAGGTGGTTATTACAAAAAAATGATTTTTGCAAAAATTTCTAGGTAAAAAATTTAATATTTTGTGCTAAACCCGACCTGTAATTACACTTTTTAAAGAGTTTAATAAGATGGCAGACATATTTTAAAAGTTTCAATGTTATTAACTAGTTTTAACCAAAATGTCAATTCGAAATTAAAATGTCACCCGTAGAATCGGATGTGTACAAAAAGTACGTTCGTTTTATGTTTTTAAAAATATTAAAATGAATTTTAAAAATTCTGATATACAGGGCATTGTTTTAAAGACACAATTTAGTTTTTTTTTTTTGTTAATCCGGATCTGAATTATTGTTCTTGCTATTATGTCAGTAAACGGGAAACAAGTAAACCAATTTTCAAAAAAAGAATGGGTGGTTCGTTATTATTACCTTAGAAAAAAATGAGCAAAATTATTAATGGCGTGAAACCTATTAACCATAGGTTTTTTAGAACTATCTTTCCACAGTTACCGTTTGTCCGTTTACCAATGAAACACTCTGTATGAGGGAATGATACTCATTAATAATGGGAGTTACTCTGACTCGAAACAACGACTGAAGCAGGTAAAATATTTCTCGTTTCCGAAATATAGTGTATTAAGATTCGAGATTTCAAAAAGAAAAGTTTTTAATTACGTAATAGCTATTTATGAAACCAGTTGCGAATGCCTTATTTTATGTAACGAGTGAATATTTGCGGGATGAGCAGAGCGAGGTCCCGCAACATGAATGAATTACAAAAAACGGCATTTCGTAACGTGTTACACACAATAATTTTGATTAAAAATTTGAATAAAATTGTGTTTTGGTTAAACATTACTGACGTTTAGGCAACTAATATTACTTTCTTGTATTGTTAGTTACATATGCATCATTTTATTGACAATTAGAACATCAATATTAATTATTTATTCTCAAAGACTAGTAGTGTGTTTATATTGTTTATTAAAGTTATTTAATTAAAAAAAATGGGTTACTTTGTCGTGTATTGTGTTTTAATTATTTTGTGCTGATTTGGACTGGAAAATGACCGAAACAACATTATTACTAGGTTTAACCAAATTCTATAGTCAACCTGCCCTTCTTTGATATAGACTTTCAATAAAAATGTATATTATTGATTTGAAAACCAAAAAAGGTTTATTTTTATTTCTTTTCTTTTCGCAACTGGTGACGTAATGGATTTTTCGAAACCAGTTTCATAATGTTCAACATTATGCAACTGGTGGCGTAAAGTAGATCATTTTGACACTTGCTGTGATAACAAAAAATGTCACTTTATATGTCAAAATTGGAAAAAATATTTTTTCTAATTTTAATAAACAATATAAACACACTGTAAGTCGTTGAGAATAAATAATTATTAATAATGATGTTCTAATCGCGGTTCTAATAAACAATATAAACACACTGCAAGTCGTTGAGAATAAATAATTAATAATGATGTTCTAATTGTCAAATGATGCATATGCAACTAACAATACAAGAAAGTAATATTGGTTGCTTAAATGTTAGTAATGCTTAATCAAAATACCATTTTATGTAACTTGTTCACTCGTTACATATAATAAGGCATTTCACAACTGGTTTTATAAATAGCTATTAATAAGATCCAGCCAACCATTAAGATCCACCCAACCATTTAAATTCGCTATTTCAAGTGACGTCTTACATGGATAAGAAACACTTTTTACCTAAGTATTACGCCACTGTTCAAATATTAATTTTATAAGTATAAATATTTTAATATATTTAAGGTAAATTTTAGGTTATGTACCTATTTTTTTTGGAAACTCAAAATGATAAAATACTCCCAATTAAAAAGGTGAATATATTTAATTTTTACTTTAAGTTCACTGTTGTCCATAAATCGCTATTTCACAAATTAGGAAAAAGGAGCCATATTCTGAGTCAGAGTATCTCCAGTTATCCCGTGTTCCATTATTAATTTATGCACAGATAAGAATGATAATCGGGTGAATACCTAAGTAAAAGTCAAAAGAATTTAAAAATATATCGCTAAACATTAATCGAAAGCCTTACAATAGTAATAGTTTAGCTTAAGTTCCCTTTAACATGTTTTTAAAAAAATACACGACACTTAAATTGCCAGTTATATTACAATAAATGCAGATAGGTATTCGCGATTTAAGCTAAGCGATACGCTCTCTAGAGGATGTTTGTAAAAGGTGTCTGGAAGTAGGACTTTTTCCAATGTTGCCAAAAGTAGCGAATTATCGCTACGTCAGCGGATTTTACACCTTCTAGCAGTGGCGAAATTTGTGTCTACCAATATGTAATCATAATATATATTTGTTTAAGGATTTTTAAAACCAATAAAATTATATTGCTTTTTTCTTCAAATTCAGTTCATTTGTCATTTTTATTTTTAAATTAGTTCATTAGTTGGTAACATTTAAGATAAATTTATATCAATTATCAATTCGAAATTTTTCTTATTTTTGAGCATTAAATTTGTTTATTTCTTATAGTGTCTAATATGAAATCTGCAAAAAGCCCTCAGCAAATATATGATATTAAGAGGTTGCATATCAAAATCAAAACAGAAGTTTTCATTATTTTCCAAGATCAAGTCCTAAAATTTTGTTTAGTGCGATAAATGGATATCTAAAACTTCACATTATTGAGATTTTGCAACATTTTATGTCTAGAATCAAACAGCATTCTGCATTGTGACAGTTCTATTTCGGTTCACATGTTTACAAAGTGCTAGAATCTTTACTTCAGAATATAATAACAAGGATACTAAGTTTATCAATAATAAACATTAAAAACCTACCTTATAAAAGGACTCATGGCTGGGCATGCAGTAGTAAAGGAATACTTGTAAGAATTTGCCGAACATATATTGGGCTAATTCGAAACCCTTATCTCCAGACAGGCACTTTTTAGTAAACCACAGGCACACTCAATCAAAAACCTGTACAAACTTGTAACGAGCCATCGAGAAAAATCATAATTGGAGTTAGCTGTGAAATTGAAATGTTCTGGGTTTTTATTACTTGACATTTTCATTGAAAACAAATTTTATTACCTCGAAATGATACTGAAACAAAAAAGAAAATGTTGTTACACGGGAAGGGGGTCGATTTTGAGTAATGTTTTTTATGTCGCTAGATTCTTAACTGTAGTCATAAACTTTGACAGAAACGAAAGTGACAGTCAGCTGGCACACCTCCGTGGGGGGAGTTGTTAGGGGTCTGTCTGGACATGTAAATGCTTGTTACTAACAATATGTGGATGACAGGCAAATTTTGCTTTTAGATTCGCTTTTAGGGTGCCGAAATATGTACACAAGAAATACCTAAAAATGTGCATGTCAGAAAATGTGCGCTTAACCGTGTTATTTGTGTCAAAATATTTCCATAAATTACATACAGTTTCTGACTTAGGAAAAAATCAGACTATTATTGACACAGTGAGGCTATTTATTGAACAGACATATTTAAGAAATTAAAAATTTTTCATATATTGTAACAGGTTCAATGACACCTGACTGTCTATAGACACCCCTAACCGTCAACCAGCACGTTTTTGAGAAGTTCAAAGGATATCCTATATGTCTCTGGAGAATGTACAATGGGCCTCATAGAGCCTAAGTGCTGTTTAGCCCACCCTCCCCACATTATAGATACTGACATACCTGTTAAATAAGTTTTCGAAAAAAAAAAGGTCGATTTTGTGAATTCAAGAAATCGTTTTTTGGTAAATATACAAATGAGTGCGTTTAATGTTCTTAATCTGAACAATAAATTATATGTTTTCGTAAAGAACTAATCAGTACGTTACGTTTAGGATCTTGAATATTGGAGAAAGGTCTAGAAAAACAATAGCATAGAATAGAGAGAAATAGAGCTACATCTACTATCCCACTACCGCGGTAGAAGGGTAACCATGTTGTTTTTAAACGTAAAATCAAACATTTAAGAATTGTTTTATTTTATTTTAGAATTCGTTTTATTTTTAGGTACTTTCTAGGAAAACTGAGCATTTTATTTGTAAGATATTACCGATCTACGTAACTTTCGCCATGTCAAACAACAAGCGAGGTACATCCCAAAACAGTTTTTGGAGTATTAAAATTTGTTGCGAGCAGCAGTGTCCCCCCTTGTCATCAAAAGGGCGTAGTTAAATAAGTTTCTCCCATTTTACTTACGTCCAAATATAATTAGGCGTCTCATATTTATTTTACGGGATTCGTAGGTTACCTTAATATATATTGAAACATTCGAGATGGCTGCTAGATATGCATATTAGGTAATCCAAATCACGTGACTTAAAATGGCCTTTAATGATGTTCGAGAGCTAAACCGCTGGGTAAAATGTATACCAGTACACATTGTGTCCCAATAGTACACAAATAGTACGCATTTAGTACACAAATAGTACACCATGTTTAAAAGTAAATCATCAAGATTTCACAAATGTAGAAGTATCTTTATTATACTAATTAGTAATAATTAGTAGATCGCATTCTGTGATATAATTTGGCAATTTAAGCGTCGTTATATTTAGAGTTTGTAATTTTCATCCTTATACTTACTTTTTGCTTGAACCTTAGTTTCTTGGTTAATATTTGCTCGTTAAAATATTACATCTCCACCATTATTCACCTAGTTTCAATAAAAATAAAATGAAAACGTAAAACATACAGAAAACGGCAATGATCAATCACCATTTACTGTATACAGAGTACTTAATTATTGGATTAGTCACTTAACGGCTAAATGGATCAGAGTCGTTTCTTTTAATTACTACGAAAGAGGGGAGATAAGCTTAGTTTAGCCAAAATATTTATTGTTTACTGTTATTTTAAAACGGATTTTCTATTTTCCCAGAATATAACTAAGCCTTTTTTCTCTTGAGCTGATACAAAATTTGGCAAATGCATTAAAAGAGGATTGGAAAATAGATTTAAAAAGTAATAGTAAGAGATTTTGTAACTTGTAATAAAATGAATTTGAAGATAAGTTTTAATTGGATGTAAATTATTATTATTATTATTCCCAATTTTACTGAATTTTATAACTCAAAGGAAAACTATGTTCTGTAAATAATATTATATTATTATTGACTATACTGTATACTGTTTTCGCATGTGATCCATACATACAGTGTTTAAAAAAATATGTGCTATTGTGGGAGGTAATTCCTTAACCAAAATAAGACAAATAGTTCCTATCTATAGTACTGCAGATGATACAGAGTGTTATAATTTTTTTTTCGGTTTTTCAAAATATTTCTGAAATAGCGATTTGAATTAAATTTTGGTTGTAAAATTTACCTAAAAAACATGTACGTCAGTTTTTTAATTTTTGATAGCACAATACCTAGGACTTCCTCAATAGTCAAGGACCTAGATTTATCATTGGATGTGACTTCAACGAAACAACCATTAAAGCTCTAGACTTCTAGACTAACAACTAAGGGTAAAAGCCTAAAAGAAGCGATGCCACAGTTAAAATGTGAGTTGTATTCAACTGGAAAATCAATTTATTGGCCCACAGATAGAAATAAAATACCCGATTCAACAGACTTTTTTGTTGTACGAAATGTTTCAACAAACTACATCCAAGTTGACGAGGCATGTGACATGAATTCAGATCATTCTCCCATTTTTCTCACTCTTAGCGGCACCATTATCCAAAAGGAGACTAATAAACTGGCAAAGCTTCAGATTGGACCTTGAAAAGAAAATTAATCTTTCAGTTCCGTTAAGAACAATAACTGCAAGATGAAGAAGTAGAACTACTTGTGCTGAACATATAGCAAGCAGCATGGGATAATACGCCACCTATTGCTCAGCGAACAGCAGGAAATAACTATACTATAGAAATAAGGGGCCTCATCTCTGCATAAAGAAAACTAAGGAAGAAATGGCATCAGACCAGAGCTTCATCAGATAAAACCAACCTTAACAACGCCAGCCAGCAGTTAAAAAGATAGATAAAACGAATTAAAAATGAATCTATTAGTGAGTACTTTGGTGAATTGACAATCGATAAATCCACTGATTATTCTTTATGGAAATTCATAAAGTGATTGAAAAAGCCCACTGCGCAGAATGCACCAATCAGGAATGGAGATGGCAGCTGGACTAGAAATAACATACAAGTTAACAGATTCGCAGAGCCCCTAAAAAAAACTTTCCAGCCAAATGAAGGGAGAAGAATTATTGGAATCTTCTAGACAGAGACGACTCAATCATTAGACCAACCTCACCAAAGAAAATTGCAAAGGATACAAAAACAAATATTGATCCTAAGAAAGTTTTTAAAAAACTTTCGAAGAAAGCCATAATTAAATTTACACACCTGTCATTATGCTCCCCAAATCACGAAAACCTTCTAACGAAGTTTCGTCATATAGGCCAATATCTCTATTGACTACATTATCGAAACTATTTAAAAAATACTAATGAAAAGGCTGAAACCCCACATTGAAGAATGGAAACTAATTCCAGATTATCAGTTCGGCTTTAGAGAAAACTATTCAACTATAGATCCGGTTTAGGTTCTCAAATTGATTGAAAAAGCATTAGAAAACAAAAAGTCTGTCCAGTCACCTTCCTCGATGTTGCGCAGGCTTTTGATAAAGTATAGCATGATGGCTTAAAACAAACTGAATGTGCTACTTCTACAGCCATACTCACTGCTGCTGGACTCATACATTTCAGATAATTCTTTAGAATAAAACAAAATGAAGCTTACTCTGAATTGAAAGAAATCAATGCAGGAGTACCACAGGGACGCGTCCTGGGAGCCACTTTGTATCTGTTACACACTTGTGACATACCCCAATTAGAACAAGACATAATAGCTACATTTACAGATGATACTGTCATCCTAGCGAAAGGCAAAGATCATAAAATAAATAACTGGACCAAAAGATGGCGTATTAAATTAAACGAAACCAATTCTGTTAATATTAATTTTACTAACAAAATACCAATTAACATAAATAATGCACAGAACCCTTTTGTTAACTCTAGGTATTACATTAGATGCAAGACTTAGCTGGAAGGTCCATGTTAAAAATAAAGACAATAGTTAAATATAAAATTTAAGAAAATGTACTGGTTACTTGGTAGGCATTCCAGTTTATCTACATATAACTTTTATATAAACAAGTCTTCAAGCCAATTTGGACCTATGGCATGCAGCTCTGGGGTTGTGCCAGCAACAGTAATATTCCAACAATCCAGATATTTCAGAACAAAGTATTGATGAACATTGTCGATGCTCCTTGGTACATTAGAAACAGCGACCTTCATCAAGATCTTCAGATGGACACTGTTGACTGGACTATTACCAGATAATAATAATAATAATAGTCTGCCTAATTCACCCCCTTACGAGTGAATTTTAACCCCAAAAGCTGAGCTTGTCCGGGGAAAGGGACGGCTATTATTATTATTTGCCGTGGCGCTCCGGGGCGACTTAAAGATGATTGATGGTGCCATTTGACTTACAGGTGAGGAAAACCCGGAAAACCTCACCCACCATCATCGAGACGGTAATGTATGGCGAATTTTTTTAATCTGCATGTCATATCAACAGAAATTGAATTTCTATTAATACGCCACACATCAAATCCTAAACCGAACCATGCAATTTAATTAAAAATCCACATGGTCTGGTCTGGGATTCGAAACCCAGCAGTCTCAGACTCATAAACTTGCCTATAAATGAATATAAGCGCGATAGACCGCTACACCACCGTGCCCGATAGAAATCATGAAAAACGGCTCCACCAACATGTTAACGATGAGGCGATCCAGTTTCTTGACAACCCCAACCTGACAAGAAGACTCAAAAGAGTGAAACCTTTTGAGTTAGCCAAGTGATTGTGTTAATAACAAAGCAAAGCATTGTGCGGTTTAGTGTAATAGGATAGAACAAAATTACTATTGATCAGATTGTAATATTAATAAACGCCCCTTACGGAGTATTAAAAAAAAACAATTAGTTAATACTTTTGGATTTAGGCTTCGTTTAAGAAACCCTTTTAAATATAGAGCTTAAAATAAATGCGCAAACAAATTTAGTATGCTAGTGTCATATTTAATGACGTTATAATTTTACATACTGGGCTTTTTTAGGTATATTTTACAACCAAAATTTCAAGTCGCTTCGGAAATATTTTGAAAAAGTAGAAAAAATTAAAAATTGTAACAACTTGTATCTTTGAATCAAAGCCTCTGTGGACTCATGTTGATAGGAACTAATTATTTGTCTTATTTTTGAGAAATCATTTCACGAACGATAGCCCATGATTTTTAAAACACCCTGTATATCCTGTATTAGAAAAATATGCCGGACAAAAGTCGTGACATAACTTCCGGTTATTGTACAATTAAATATATTCTGAAGTACAAAAGAAACATCACGCACACAACGTATATTTTTCCTTGTCACAGTAATTGTCGAAGTACAAAATAAAAACAATACCTAATAATTACTTATTATTGTATTTTGAAGTAGAATAGATAAAAATACGATAGTCCATGAAGAAATGAAACGTATACTGTGAAAAAGCTAAAAAGACGAAAGCATCTTAATATCTAAAAAATTATACGCTCATATTAAGATACACTTTTGCCACTTCCTGTATAGTAAATCCAAAAGAAATCAAACAAAATATGTAATGTTAAAACCCGATATTGCGACAGTCAAATTAGGTAGAATGGTACACAAAAATGTTTCTGAAGTAGACCATGGAAAAAAATCACATTTTTTTTAAACAATATTTGAACCAGTTTGAATTTTATGTTTATGGCAACTACTAGTATAAGTATGAAAGATTACCCATAGTCTCAAATGTGGTAGTGTTATTCAAATGAAAGAAAACTTTAAATTAATACCACATATTAATAGTTTATTATATTTAAAATATGCTGCGAATGAGCCATCATCAGGCCTATAACACAAAAATTAAAATATGACAAGTAACAGTATAAAAAGAACAGTGTTATTATACTTACAACGAAATTAAGCAGACAGCAAACTATAATGAAGATATAATAATGCTTGTTATTTTATATTATACTCTTCACATTTTAACAGACCCCGCTTACCCCCATTTTTAATACATTTTTTTCAGAATCAATAGAATTCATTCCCTCATTGAGCTTGATTTTTACTAAAAATTTCATGTTGATATCGGTTTTCGTTTTTGATTTCTGATTTTTTTTTTATTTCAATGATTTCATCCGTGGAAACATCAAGAAGCGGAAAATCCCACCATGGCTACAAATAACTTCTGGTAATGTAATGCTAACTTGACGATTAATCTTAGGACACCTAGTCAACTTTTAAACGTAGAAACTTAAAAATTGAGAAAATCAAAAAATGGACATGGCATAAATTTAGGCTCATTTTGGGCTAATTCTACACCAACACAAAAAATTTTCATTCTGGCCTTTATTTTTATGCTAGCAGTGCACCTGATTTTTACAATAAAGACAATAGTGGACAATTTTTACTTTCCTATCTGTATACAGATATAAGGAAAGTATAGGAATCATGATTTTTTTCGACCTCGAGTTTTCGACGGATTTTTACGTTTTGAGGTCCCCTGAATCCGTTTTGACTATTTTCGCGATGATGTCTGT